CGGCGAGTTCAAGTTGAAATATTAACATTCTTTTGTCTCTTCTTGTGGGGATAGTAGAGAGGTTCCGGAGTACGACTTCCCGTGCCAAAATCCGTCTGCCGTAGATTTGTCTACGTCGTAGTAATCCATTCACCTCTGGAGAATCCGTAAAAAAAAACTGAACTGAACTGAATGTCGTTAGTGTGTTTGTTTACATCCACCGACCACGCTGCCATGTTTGCATTTGTCACGCACCGCTATCGCGCTGCGTCATTGCTTTGTGCACTGCACTCACACTGCCAATGTGTAGATCTAGGCGCGCTTAGCCTGACGTTGCACAACTGCTCCTTTTTATTTTTTTAACTAACTCTTTCTTTCTTGCCATTGGATCCACTTCAAAGTCTGATTAGTGGTGATTTTTAGCTTGTGTCAGCATCACATTTTCACCCTCCATCCCTCCCATATTATCCTCTAGCTAGCGGTACTAGAGAACGGGGTTATTTGCTTTGCTAGTTGCTGCTCATCACGAGCCAATTGTGGCTTATGACGAGCCTGTTGCGGCTCTTCGCAAGCCAGTTAATGCCAATTGCATTGGCTTTGCCTTGCAACCCAATTGTGGCACAATGTGGGTTTATTGCAGCTTCTCGCGAGCCAGTTGCTGCCAGTGGCTTGGCATAGCTTTCGAGTTCTTTGAGCTTTTGCATAACAATGCCAGTCACTCACAGCCGTGAGCACGCTATCTCAAGAAAAAATCCTTGTTGCCTTGGACTGAGTATGAGTGCGCGAGGGACGTGGTGCTAATACTTCGTTTTCAAATAGTGAAATGTTCCGGAGTACTGAAAAGATGAGCTTGCCGTTATTGCCTAGGTTACGATTGCAAACACGTCATATTCCTCGCGCTATGCCTTTTTATTTTCAAAAAATTATTCCGAAGTCAAAACTTCCCTCTGAAAATCGATGTCTCGTACCAAATGTGTACGCTAAAATAGATCTGCAATTGATGACGAAAAATCTCAATTAGAAACATGGTTCGTGGAGAAGCCAGTCGACACGAATTCTCGGTGCCGAAAAATAGTATTAACCCCGCCTCGGTAAGGTCCTTAGCGCCCATACGGATTTTGGTATGGAAAATCGTACCCAGGAACCTCTCTTGTGAAGCCATGTGCCACATATGGCCTTTCGCCTTTCGCCTTTCGCCATCCAAATGTTTGTGATTCGGAATTCGAAATACGGAAAATTCAAAGCTATGGTCAGTGCCCCATCCTGGACCGACCGGATAATCGAAGGATGTATGTACCATGTCCATTGTACCATTGTACCTAACATAACTTGTGATGTGTCAATGAATTCTTTCTTGTTTCTTGACAGAATTCAACAGTGACTTCCTTGGACGTGTGAACGTTTTGTTTGGCCGTAAAGTGTTCGCACCACGCACTCCTCCTGCTAAGTAGTAAGTGAACATACACGACACAGTTCATACTTCAAGTGTTTAAGTCAGCTACATGTACATGTACTTGCAACTACTGTACAGTGCTGCCAACTGAAATCCGACCCCTGAGCGGTGCGTCCACATTCTAGCGGTCTCTGTTTCGTAGTTTTTCCATCCCGTTCTGGGTCTTTGCGATGTGAGCGCACCGCTCAGGGGATCGGATTTCAGTTGCCAGTACTGTACTTGTTGTGCTCCATGCTGGCTCGGCTAGGCGATGACATCATCAAGGGCCCGGCCACATATGCACTCAAAAGTAGCGGTTCCGCATTAGCGGACAACACCATGGCAACTGCGAGAAGTGAAAATAACACTCCAGCGGAAACTCAAATCCGCTGCCTTCAAAATCTTGGGGGCGGCACTCTCGCTTTTGCGGTTTCGCTTCAGTGGGATACACAACGGTCTGCTGAATATGGACTTGCTACGAGAAATTCGTATGCGTATGATCTCCATGAAACAAACAAATGCATAGCATATATTCACTGACTCCCCACCATGCCGTACCGTATGCACCACAGTCCACTTCACTCTCATTTTTCAATCCACCAAAGAAGAGCTTCCCCTGTCTGTCATGTGTGACCATACACACATAGCTCCACTGGAGAGGCACCAGGCAGTCTCCCTGCCGCAGAACCTCGCCGCGAAGCGGAACCCCAGTGCACGTGCGATTTTTCAAGTAGGTTCCGATGAAAGACAATTTGATATCCGTTCGAATTGCATTCGATAAGCCAAACTTGCCAAATCGTCAGTTGTATTATTATACGTCGCTATCGACCAGCGCAGTGATGACATACAATCGACTCAGCTCCGCCAGAGAGAAGGTCAATCACTGCAGAATATGGTCATTTTCAATTGTCTTATTGTATTCACGATGTGGAAGGACACTGCATGTGTTCAATGCTATTAGTGTCGTGAACTCTTTATCGGCCTTCTCCTGCATTTCCCGAGGCTGAGTGTAGCCTAGGAAATGGTTTCTCTACGAGAAGATGCTTGGTATTCATCATCTCTCCTCGGACATTTTCAGCAAACTTTCCAAAAAGTAGGGGTGAAACAATTATACCGAGTACTCGAGTACTCGCTCGGTTTTTTTCAAAAATAATCGTACTCGGAATAAATCAGAGTACTCGTTCATACATGGTACATGCATTTACTACAGAAATCTGCAGTTTCAGGGCAGCAGTCGGCAGATGGTGATGTGCAGACTGTGTGGTGAACATTTGTTCACGAGTAGAGAGAGAGCCCAACTGACCCACCAACCATATACCCGAGAAAAATGACTGCTACTCGGTTCAATCAGGGTTGTATCATGTTATTTTAAAGCCCTTGGCGTGCAATTTTTAGGAGATGAAAAATACTCGAATATTCGAATATTCGATCGGAGAAAACCAGAATACTCGAACTCGGGATTTCAGTGCCAACTTTCACCCCTACCAAAAAGTACGACATCATGTCGTTCGTCAATCTCCACAAACCGTCGTCTCACCGGGCTTCAGATTATGTTACGAGAGATTGGAGAATCGCCAACAAGCATCACATCCATCTGCAGGAAATGGAATGAGCAAACGGCATGGTCCTTATTATTAGTGTTGAAACGATCTCACCGGGTACTCGTTAGCTCGCTCGCCAGAAACTCGGCTCGTTTGTGCGGCCAGTTCGTTTGCACTAACGAACACCGTACACCGTACTCTGTACACATGGCAGTACATGTCGACCAGGGAGTCGAAAAATATTTTACGACTCCCTGGTCGATCGAGAGTCCAGTCCCACGCAAAGTAAAAATCACTCGCAGTTACACTTACAGTGACTGTATGCCTGCACGACACTTTAGTTGTTTCAGTTGTCGTTGCAGCTTTGGTGGACTCCACTGATGTCTTGTTCCGCATCTGCTGACCTGTCGCAGGATATGCTTCGGTCACCTCTCCATTCGAGTGAAAGTTTCGCTCAGTCATTTGGAAGTTTTCTCCCGCGATGCAGCGAAGAACAGGGCTACTTGCAATCTTTGCAAAACGGTCTATTCTTACAAAGGCTACTCAACGACGGCGCTGAAAAAGACATCTCGACACCGAACAGCAGTCCGAAGTGAAGCAGCAGCAACCCCAAATGCCGGCGGTGATTATTTGAACCAGCTGAAAAAATCGAACTTAGAAAAAAATATTCAAAAAATCATATTTGCCACATCAATGAAACTCTTTAGCTCGCTCGATAGCTTGCTCGTTAGTGGAACTGATCGCTCGTTTGTTATAGATACGCTCATTTCAACACTACTTATTATGTTGGGTCCCAAGAAGGACGACTGAGGACATCTTCTCCAGACATTACAACGGACAACGGGAACAAATTATTGGGAACGACATTTATTATAGATGGGATGCCTAAGACCAGGACGAACGAACGACTCCGTTGAAGAGTGAGATTTTTGAAGAGAGAGCTTATTGAAGAGAGAGAGAGAGAGAGAGAGAGAGAGCTTTGAAGAGAGAGAGAGAGCTCGACTGAGAAACAACGCAATATAAAAGGGCCTGGGTAGCTATGGCAAACATGGGCGCGCAAGTAGCTACCCAGGCCAACGGAACGAACGGTGAGTATGACGCAGTACGGGTGTGTTTCGGGGTAAACAAGTTAGTTGTTTACGATAGGATTATATTCTCACTTGGCCATTGTAGGCAAATCATAAGAACGCCGACATCTAAAAGATCTTGCATGAAAGTAGGCAGCTGCGAGATGCGTATCTTGCGCATGCTCTTGCATGGCTACGTAATGCATTACATCATAATACAACATCCCCTTCGTCATAAAGGAGTTTAACAACCTACATAACATACCGCACGTACACGACGGCGTGTTCACAATATAGAACATAACATCCAACAATAGCTCTATGTACAAGGTAACAATCATGAATGGCACACGACGGCGTGCTAACAATACAGAGACATAGTAGACACCCTTAGCAAACAACGTTATGTTGTAACGGTATTATCGCAAGGGGGAAAATACCGTGATTTGGGTTCGACCTTTAGCAAGATGCACGCTATTTTTAGTACGCTGTTGCCACGAGAATAGCTTTGATTTCGCGCGGTACAACCATTTTTGTCACCATATACGCGATACAAGGTGAAATGCGTACGGACTATGCAATATTTGGCTAAAACACGTACCGTTGGTCACAACGATAAATCAGCCCCCATAACGTTTATACGCTGCAGCTTCAACGCTATTTGGGTGATCAAGGTACGAGTACCGTAAAAAGTAGCGTTACCGTTGTTTGCTAAGGGTGTCTAGTATCCAATAATAGCTCTATGTACAATATAACAATGGCACCTCAGTTACTGTGACATAAGCGAACAGGTCCATGAGGCCTCTCTGGCCCTACACATCCAGGATTGACCTGGGTGCGACTGCGCGGCCAGACCGTGTTCGATACAGCTGGGTGGCAGGTTCAGCAGGCTGGCTGACGTCACACGGTGACGGCGGCTGAGACTGGCTAACGTCGCTCCACGGCGACGGCACGTCACTCGGCGGCTGAGGCTCGCCAATGTCGCTGCGCGTTGACGGCTGAGGGCCTGCGGGACTGGCATCCGGCGGGAAGTGGACCCGCCTCTCTCTGAGGTGGGTACGGTTGCGCCGCACTTCTGTCCCATGGTCAGGCTGCACCATGTATGACCGTGGCCCGTTGGCAGACTGGGTTACGATACCAGGTTCCCACAGGTGCGTGATCGGGCTGCGGATGCCGACGTGCTGACCAGGAACTAGGGGGCGGAGAGACTGCGCTCGCTGGTCATGGTGTACTTTCTGCTGGTCCTGCCGTTCCTCGAGCTTCTGTCGGATGGCCTCGTCCCGAGTGTCGCGCTGGTGTTTGCGAGGCAGGTTGTCCTGTACCTGACGACCGACCAGCATCTCGGCCGGCGACGGTAAGTCCTGGCACACTGGGGTGGCGCGAATGCACAGCAGTGCTAAGTGTGGGTCGGTCCCGCTCTCCCTTGCCTTCTCGAGAGCTCTCTTAGCGATCTTGACTTGCGATTCGATAACCCATTACTCTGCGGGTGATGTGGCGACGACGTACTGTGGCGGAATCCATATTCGGCAGCAAACTCCGCGAACAGATGGCTGCTGTATTGCGGCCCGTTGTCCGACTTCAGCACGGCTGGGATGCCGTGCTCACCGAAAATCTCCTTGAGGTGCTGGATGATGGCCCTGCTGGTCGCTTGTCCGGCAGGCAGCTTCCGGGTGATAAAGTACTTGGAGTAGTAGTCGGCGGCAATGAGGTATTCTGACCCGCCGAGGTAGAACAGGTCCGTGCCTAAGGTGTGCCATGCCCTTGGCGGAATATCGGGCTGCACCAGTGGTTCCTTGGCTTGACTGCTCTGGTGGCGCTGGCACGTCGTGCAAGATGAGACAGTTGCTTCGATATCCTTGTTGATGTCCTTCCAGAAGACGGACGTTCTGGCTCGCAGCTTGGTCTTCTCTATGCCTTGGTGGCTGGCGTGCAGCTTGCTGAGGATTTCCCCCCTCATTGGTGGGGGAATCAGGAGGCGACTGCTCTTCAGGATGAGACCGTCCTCGGTGCTCATCTCGTCGCGGAAATTCCAGTACGGGAGCAGAATTGCCGGCACCGCGCTCCTCTCTGATGGCCAGCCACTGAAATCATCTCCTTCAGTGCTGACATCTCGGCGTCTTTAGCCGACTCCTCGCGGATCCTCGTCATCGCCGCATCGCTGAATTGCGGGAACACGGCGTGTACACTGACGTCGAGGTCCTCAATTGGCTCTGTTTCCTCTGGCGACAGTCGGGATAGCGCATCTGCGGTCGGAATGTCCTTTCCGGGGCGGTATTTGATGGTCATGTCGTACGGCTGCAGCTTCAGCAGCATGCGCTGTAGACGCGGCGGGGCTGCGCGGAGGTGCTTGAGCTTGATTGTTTCCAGCGGCTTGTGGTCGGATTCTACTGTGAATGACTGACCGAATAGG